TTCCCCCCAGGGGGTGATTTCTTGCTTTCTTTCTCTCCAGTAAGCGCACACACCCTATAGCAAAAATCTCTCTTTAAAAAAAAAATGTAATGTGCGTCTGTGAAACCACCATTGAATTGCAGAACTACTGGGTCTGCGGAGAAGTCATGACTCATTTTTGCATAGAAAAATATATCATGACTTTCCAGACAATTTAATAAAATATTGCTAATAAATCACGTTTACCCATTTTCATCTTCTACCTCATCTTCCTGTTCACTGCCCAGGGCAACCTCTCTCCTGAAATTTGTGCTGATCATTTTCTTGCCTCTTTCCATGCTTTCTCTCTCTCTCTCTCTCTCTCTCTCTCTCACACACACACACACACACACACAAAGTCCCTCTCCCCTGTGTGTGTCTGTAGATATATATTTATTTATTTGTTTGAACCTAATGAAAAAGGATGTCATATTTAAATAGACCTTGGATTTGCATTTTTCATTCACCATTACATTACTAAGATTCATCCTTGTTATTATATGTAGCTAGAGTTCATTTATGTTTTCTCTTAATACAGTATTCCATTGTGTGAATATACTGCAGTTTACTCCCCTCCCTCCCTCTCTCCTTCCCTCCCTTCCTTCATTCCCTCATTCCCTCTTTTTTTTTTTTGGCCATTATACCCAATGAGTTTCTGAAAGTTCCTGTATTTGTCTCTGAATACTCACATGTTAATATATATCTAGGTGTGGAATTGCTGGGTCATAGTGTGTGAGAATGATCAGCTCTAAATGAGAACACTGAGTTGTCTTCCAGAGTGATTCTACAACCCCCGTCATCTCACTGCTCCACATCTTCCTGGGAGCTGGCATTATCAGTCTTTGTGAGGCTTATCAACACAGTAGGTTAACCATGTGCAGAAGTTGCCTTTGCCTGAGGTTGAGCATCTTGACATATGTTTATTGACCTTACCTGTGTCCCTTTTCTGTGAAATGACCATGTATGTTTTTCTTGTCTTTTGACTGCTTTTCTGTTGTTTTACTGATTCATAGGCATTTTTATGTGTTCTGGTGCTAATCCTCTTATTAGTTCAGTGTTTCGCAGATATCTTCTCTTAGTTTTTAGATGGGTTTAAGCTTCTTTAAAGTGTCTTCTGATGGACAGAATTTAATATTGATGTAAACTGATCTTTTTCTTTTATGCTTAACATTTTTTGCTATCTTAATTTTTTTTTCCTGCTTCAAACTCAGAAAGCTATTCACTTATATTTTCTTTTCAAGTTTTCAAAGTTTGCTTTTGACATTTAAATTCTTCATCCATCTGGAGTAGATTTTTCAGCATGGTGTGAGGAAGAATCCAATTTCATTTCTTTTCCTATGGATAAACAATTTTTCCAGCCTTTCCTTTTCGAGACTGTTCTGTCAAAAATCAAAGTTTCACATATGCCTAAGTCTATTTCCAGGCTCTTACTTTTATGCCAGTGGTTAGTCTCCTTATCTCTGCACCGTGACTGCACTGTCTAAATTACTGTAGTTTTACAATATACTCTCTTAACTGGCAAGGCTAGTATCTCTTCCTGTTCCTCTTTGGAGATTATTCAGGTATTAGTGGTCCTTTTGTTTTCCCATTTACATTTAGACTCCATCTTTTATTTATATACAATATAAGAATCATTCAGTGTACAGCTCAACGTTCCAACAAATGCATGCGATCCTGTAACCACTATCACAATCGGGTTATGGGACGGTCCTTCACCCTCCAAATTCCCTCATTCACCTTCTTCCCCCAGCCTCCGTCACCCATAGGCTCTGCTGTTTTCTGTTGATATCTTTTTGTTTTTTAATTTGTCAGTTTTAACTGAAATGTTGGAGTTTTTGCTGGAGTTATATTAAATCTCTAGATTAATTTAGGAAGGAATCTATATCTTATGTCTATAAACAGTGTGTATCGATTTAGTGGAGGAGACTTTGCTTGACATTATGGAAAGTTCTATGTTAAAAAAAAATCTAACCATTTAAAGTGATGCTTTAAAACTCTTAATACAGAAGGCATTTTATAAGGTAGTTGTCAACCAGAATAAACAAAATTTATAGAAATACATAGCAGATACCTGTCAGTATTAATTGTATTTTTAAAAATCTCTACATAGCTCTGTGTCTCTGGGTCCCAAGCTGGCGTCGTTGTGTGCACAAGACCTCAGGTGCGCTAGTTAGCTGCTCTTTTCTGTGTAGGGACTAGAGCAGCCCTGCCTCAGGGGTCGTAGTGAAGATTAAACGCTGTCATGTGTGTAGGGTCAAGAGACCATGGACCAGGCACAGTGAAGCCACGAGTGGATGGAGCTCTTGTGTGAGGAACTGCCCCTACCTACAGGGAAACTGGGCGGACCCCGCGTGTTTGGTTCCCCAGTGGTTTTGACAAAGTGGCAGGACTGAAAGATGGCCTTGAATCATTTCCCTGACAAATTTGGAAAAGGTTAGTGTTACCAAACTGCCTTCTACATGCAGCTTCTGACAGGCGAGCTGGAATCACTGGAGGACACGGTTGACAGCCAATTCATTTTGCTGATTCATCCGTTAGAGGCGTGGCTTTGAGCCAGAGCTTGGCTTCTAGATTAAAGGCTGAGAGCTGCAAAGCTGCTGGGCCTTGGAGGAATGCTGGTAAATGATTGCCGAGTGAAGGCCAGCAGTGCAAAGCGAACTGTTATTTGTTTCCCCTTTTAAGTGATCCTCATTCCAAGTGTGCTCAGATAAAGTTAAAAGTCCCTCACCATGGTTAGGGGAGTTTGTAAGGTTAGTCGATCGGGCTGGAAGCTGAAAGATTGGAAACAATCAGGTACCATTAAACAGATCATCTTGGCTCCTTTATGACCCTGTCATCACCTTGCTTTCATGGGGATGTTAACCAAGCCTACTCTTTACTTGGTAATCCAAATTAAACTTGAGAGTGGGATTATTGCAGGTATCATATTTTCTGGGCACACTTCCTTAATAAACCTTCCAGATTAAAGAATGAAATTTATACAGAAAATCTAGGAAGTGTACTTACTTGCCAACAGTTGATACAGAATAATGATGGTAGAGCCCGAGGATTATCATTGTATATATCACATTGATAGATTAATATGAGTTAGGAGGGAATCTCAAGTATCTAGGGAAATCACCCGAACATAAAACTGGTATGGAGGCCAGCAGGTGGCATAGTGGTTAGGGTGCTGGACTCCCATATGGCTGACCACGGTTCAAATCCTGGACCTGGCAGCTTGCTTTCTCACTTTCTCTGTCTCTCCTGTGACAAACAAACTTCCTAGTAAAAATTCATGTTTCTAAAGAAATAGATTTTTCTCCCTGGTTTTTGTTTTTGTTGTCGTTTGCCTTTATTTTTAGATGTCTAAATATTGAGGGCAGGACAGTCTGAACCATTGTGCTGAATTTTAGTCTAGCCTGGTCCACTTGAAGAGTAAAGAGCATCTAGTATGGGGTCTGTGGAGCACCTGCCCTCAGACAGTTGGCTCTCCCTCTGATTTGAGGTCCTCATATGCTGGAGTCCTTAGTCCTTGCTGTGCTCAAAGACTGCATGCTCATCACTACTTCTGCTTTGCCTTCATTCAAGTAATAGCGTTGACATCTTTGTACCAAGAACTTTGCTGGGTGTGAGTACAGAGACTCCATCTCTGACGTCACAATGCTTTTGCAGCTACCTGGTGTCCAAGGCTGCCCCTGACAGTGGCCAGGCTTTTACTGTCTCACTACTGGCATGGGCAGTGGTAGCGGACTAGGAAAACATATACCCAAATCGCATAAGCCAGAACTGGTGAATGGATGCCATCTACTACCTTCCATTGGTCCTCATCCCCACACCACCAGCATGCTCTGTCTACCAGCCTCAGAGGAGGCAGCTTGGGAGTGAAACACAATTGACCCAATTTTAGTCTGACACAGTAATGTTACGGCCAGACATAAGCTTTAGCCTGCAAGTACTCCTGCCAGCTAGAGGCACTTATAGAAAATGAGCAGTCTTTAAAAGCAAGAGGAAGGGCTGGCAGGTGGAGTGGTTGAGGCACTGGACTCCCACGTGGCTGACCACAGTTCGAATCCTAGACCTGGAAGCTTGAAGCATGCTGGGGGAGTGTGTGTGTGTGTGTGTGCGTGTGTGCACATTCTCCTAAGAGGAGAACAGAGGAGAAGGGATTGTGGCCTGGCCATCCCCTGGGGAGTCGATTTCTCACTTTCTCTGTCTCTCCTGTGAGCTCACGCACCCTATAGCAAAAATCTCTCTATTAAAAAAAAGAAAAAGGTCAGGAAAGGAGACACCTCTTGAGTGTTGTGGAGAGATCTTGAGTTTGCAGAGTCCAGGGTGAGGTGCGAAGCAGCAAGAAAGGCCCTGGCATTAGGTGTAAGGGGTTGAGTGGTGAGTAAGCTGGTTTTGCATCGGTGCTGCCATCCACCCATGGTGTGGCCCACGGTAATCCCCAACCTCTGTGACCCTGCTTTGTCATCAGTAAAACAATTCCTCCCTTGCAAGTGTACCCTGAAGATTCGACATTCGACATAACACATGCAGAACAGGCACACAGCAGACCTTCAGCACTGGACGCAGTGATCATTGTCACTGTCTTTTTTTTTTTTTTTTTGGTCATTTTTAGGTTTACAGTTTTTCCTTCAGTGGTTTTGTTTATTTGCATGTTCTTATTCTGAAAATGAGTAATTTTTAGGCAGTACTGTTAGCAGTGAATATTTCAAGACTTAATAATTCACTAGGATCATTATGATTCTTTATAGTTTATAAAACATTTTCATGCTGTAAGAGAGACTGGGGAGAAAAGATTCTCTCTTTTACCCATATGAGGAAACTCCCTCTGAGGGACTTGTCCAGGGTCACCCTGAGAGGCAAAGCTGGAGTGTGAGCTAACACCTGAGTCCTGGGCTCCACTGACTACCATAGGCCACTTTTCCAAAGTGATGTCTTTGGGATGAGGCCAGACTCTTACAAGGATTTTTAAATTATTATTCTTTTCCTTGTAGCTGTCAATACCAGCAAGTACGCAGAGAGCTATCGGATCCAGACCTATGCTGAATATGTAGGGAAGAAACAGGAGGAGAAGCAGATCAAGAGAAAGTGGACGGAAGACAGCTGGAAGGAGGTGGAGAGAAAGCGTTTAAACACTCAATGCATATCCTACGCTCTACAGAATCATTATTACCGCACCAGTAGGTAAGAGTTCTTGCCGTTGATTTAAAAGGGCAGTATTCTTTTAGCAATAGCTTTTCTTATTGCTCCTTACAGGATTGTTAGTATAAATCTGACCTATGAGAAAGACTTTTTTCTAACTTTGACACAATATCAGAAGTGACTACCTTGATTACCTTTCATGCCTTATAGACCACAGCTATTTTGGCTAGCCCTCACAAAACTCTCTTGAAGTACTCAGGCTATTTCTTATTCCCGTTTTAGGGGTGTGGAAGTGGAGGCTCTGTGACTCACTCCCTAATTCAGTGAGAGAACCAGGATTAGAGCTAAACTCTGTCCCCTTTCTTTTCTCAGTATGCTGTGTTACCTCTGCCTGACTTCCAAACCCTGTTCAGATCCCATTAGACACTGAACCATGTACCCACTGTAGAAAGAAAACTGGACTTCCTTTAATACACACTTAATCACCCACAGTCCTACTTCCAGAAGATAAATGCTGGTTATGTTTGGTAGCTTCGTGAAACTGTGAAACACAGGTATAGAAGATAGGGAAATACATATATATGTATTCATATATATTATAACATATATATAAGTTTATGTATACATATATTTACAGGGTATATTATATAATAATTATATAATAGTTTTATAATAACTTACAATATATAAGGGCCAGCAGGCAGCATAGTAGTTGTGCTGGACTCCCACATGGCTGACCACAGTTTGAATCCTGAACCTGGTGACTTGAAACACATTGGGCACATGTGCATGTATGCCCAAGATCCTGAGAGGAGAATGGAGAAGGGACTGTGGCATGGCCACCCTACGGGGGGATGATTTCTCAGTTTCTCTCTCTCCAGTAAGCCCACGTGCCCTATAGCAAAAATCTCTACAAAAAATTTTATATAAATATATCTTTACTTGTACTATTATATAATATATAAATACATGTGTGGTATGTATGTTCATCATGGAAAATTGTAAAGATTAGAAAAGTATGAATTAACAAAAAAAGTAGCCATAATCCCAACACCCAGAAGCAATCATTTAGTAAAAAGCAGTTGCTGTTTTGGGTTGCCCTCTTACTTTTAAAATGTTTTTAGGGATTCGAGAAATTGAGAAATAATTAAGATGCTCCAAATGCACAGTCTTAAATGTTCAAAGGATTTTAACAGTTGTTGATATTTATGTAACCACCACCTAAAGCAAGATATACAACATTTCTATCTCCCCAAGTTTCCTTGTGTCCCCTTTTCTTCAAGCAATCCCAAATCTCCACTACCCAAAACAGTCATTTGCTAATTTCTACTACTATAGATTAATTTTACTTATTCTTAGAATTTAAGAAAAATAGAATGGGATGGCATTGTATTTGACTTTTCTCTATTAACATGCTTTTGAAATTCATTCTTAATGTTGTGTCTCATAGTAGATTTTTCGTTGTTGTGTAGCATTCCATTGTGCGAATATATTGCATTTATTTTGCCCATTCTTCTGTTTGTGGATATTGGGATTGTTTTTCATTTGGTAGTTATAAATAAGGCTTCTGTGAACATTTCAGTGGGAAAAGATTTTTGTCAGTGTATATTTTCCTTTCTCCATTGTAAATACCTAGGAGTAGAATTGTTGATTTTAGGATAGGTGTATGTTAAATTTTATGGGGACAACCAAACAGTTCTCCAAAGGGAACATTTTGTAGTCTACCAGTATTGTGTGAGTTCCAGTGGCTCCACAGGCTTGCAAACATTTTTTCCTGTTGGTCTTATTTTAATCATTCTAGAAGATGGCATTACATTGTGGTTTAATTTGCATTTTCCTTGCGACCGACAACGTTGATTTCCTTTTTTAAAATTATTTAATTTTATTTATTATAATTCTTTTTTGACCAGAGAGAGAAAGAAAGGGAAAGTAAGAAAGCAAACTGCCAGGTCCCTTCTCAAACCCAAGTTGTTTACTGCTTCTGTATAGAAATATAATTCATTATTATATATTGCTGTTATATCTTATAATCATTTTAAATTCATTTACATGTTCTGATAATTTTATTTTTAATCACAGGATTTTGTGCTTTTACTGTGGTTAATAGCACACAATCATGTTGTTTTTACTTCTTTTCCAATTTTTATGTTTTTAAGTTTTTTTCCTTTCCTTACTCACTGACTAGCACCTCTGGCATATTATTAAATATTAGATTGTAGGAAAAGTCATGACATATTTTTTTCTATGCAAAAATGGATCATGACTTCCAATAACCCAACAGAAGTGGGAGAGTGGATATCCTTGCTTTGTTTCCAGTGTTAGCAAGGGGAAGTTCATTGTTTCCTCACTGAATATGGTTTTAGATTATTCATTCAAGTTCATTTTCAGAAGTTCATTTTCCTTTCCATATGTAATTTGCTGCTCATGGGGGAGCAGCAGGTGATATGGGGGTTAAAGCACTGGATTCTCACATGGCTGACCGTGGTTAGAGTCCTGAACCTGGTGGCTTGAAAATCTCACTGGGCATGTGTGTGCATGCCCCAAATCCCAGGAGGAGAATAGAGGAGCAGGGATTATAGCATAGCCTTCCCCCCGGGGGTGATTTCTCTCTTTTTCCCTCTTACTATCTGTCTGTCCGGGGAGCATACGCGCCCTATAACAAAACTATCCCAACCCCCCACTCTCCAAAAAAGTTTATATCATGAATGAACATTGAATTTTTTTCAGATTCTCTTTCTGTATCTTAAAATTATGATATGTTTTTTGTCCCTTATTACTATTTTAAATTACACTAATTGGCTTTTCAACTGGTTTTATCAGACTTGTTTGTCTGGGAGAAATCCCACTTGGTCATGAAGTATTAATATTATTTTCTTAACATGTCGCTGATTTTGATTGCTAATATTCTGTATTATTTTTGTATCTTTGTTCATGAGGACAATTAGGATGTAATTCTTTTTCCTATTTCAAGTTTTTGTATCAGTGTTGTGCTGATTTTATAAATTTAGTTAAGCGTGTTTCCTATTCTGTTATTTTCTGAAACAGTGTATGTAGAATTTTTCTTAAATTTTTGAGAGAATTTACCAGTGAAGGGACCATCAGATGGAGTAATGGTTACGTTGCTGGACTCCCACATAGTCAACCGTGGTTCAAGTACCAGACCCAACGGCTTAAAACTCTCATCAGTCATGTGTACCCAAAATCCCGAGAGGAAAATGAGAGACTGTGACATAGCCATCCCCCCCCGGAGGTGATTTCTCGCTTTCTGTCTGTCTCTCTCTCTCTCTCTGTGGCATGCATGTGCCCTATAGCAAAAATCTCTCGAAGAAGAAGAAGAAGAAAAAGAACAACAACAACATACCAGTGAAGCATTTGACCATGAAGTTTTTGTGGAATTTTCTTTTTATTATGAACTTGATATCTTCAATAGATGTGGCGCTATTTAGATTTTTCTAGTTCTTCTTGTATAAGTTTAAGTAGTTTATGTTTTTCATGAATATTCCATTTACATTGCCATATTCCATTTATGTTGTCAAATTCATTAGAATAAAATTACTAGGTCAAAATAGTTCTTCATAATTTAAATATGTATAGGATCTATAGTGATGTCCCTTTGAATTTCTAATTAGCAGTTTGTAACTGCTCTCTTTTTTCCTTGCCTAGGTATTTACTATTTATTTCAAAGAACTGACTTTGTCTTTTTTTTTTTTTTTTTTTTGCTATAGGGCGTGTACTCTCGCCAGACAGACAGAGAGAGACATAGAGACAGAAAGCGAGAAATCACCCCCCAGGGGAGATGATCACGCCGCAATCCCTTCTCCTCCATTCTCCTCTCGGGCACGCACGCACGCGCACCCAGCGTGAGTTTTAAGCCACTGGGTCCGGGACACGAACCGTGGTCAACTATGTGGGAATCCAGCGACATAGCCATTACACTAACTGCTGGTTCCCCAAGAACTGACTTTTGACTTTATTGGGTTTTCGTTATTTTTCTATCTTCTATCTTCTTTTATCCTTTATTTATTTGTTTGTTTGTTTATTAAGGTTTTTGCCATAGGGTATGTGTACTCACCAGACAGAAAGAGACAGAGACTGTCAGTGAGAAGGAAAGTGAGAATTCAGCCTCCGGGGAGATGGCCATACTGTAATCCCTTCCCCTCTATTCTCCTAGGATTCTGATCACACATGCCCAGCATTGTTTTCAAGCTGCCAGGTCTGGGACTCGAACCACAGTTGGCCATGTGGAAGTCCAGTGCCCCAACTACCATGCAATCTGTTGACCCTCATATTACTTTTTTTTTTATTATTATTATTAATGAATTGCACCTTTTATCATTGTAGAATATTCCTCTTTATTTCTTTTAATAGTCTTTTTTGATGTTTACTTTGCTGGTATTAATATATAGCCACTCCTATTCTCATATGCTTCTTATTTGCATAGTATTTTTTTGTTGTTGTTAAAACTTTCGCTGGTGACTCATCTTTATAATCAAAGTGTGCTTCTTATAAACAGCATGTAGCTAGGTCTTGCTTTTTTATCCATTTTGGCAATCTCACTCTTTTATATTTAACTAATAACAAGGGTAGATCGATCTCCCACCTTGTTTGTTTCTATTTACCCTGTTTTTTTCTGTGATCCTCTTTTCCACTTACTTTCTTGCCGTTTGGATGACTTTTTTATTCTTTCGTATTTGCTGACATTTTAGATCCCATTTTATCTTGTTTGTTGACTTTTTGCTTATACCTCTTTGTGTTTTTCAGTCATTGATCCAGAGTAGTGGTTGGCAAACAACTGCCCACAGGCCAAATCTGGCCCCTGTGTTTTTATCAAGTTTCATTGGAACATAGAGAAGCCTGGTCATTTACATAATGCCTATGACTGCTTTCACATGACAGTGGCAGATTTGGTCATTGTGACAGAGACCTTATGTCCCCCCCCAAACTCAAAACGTTTACTCTTTCACCCTTTATAGAAAAGTTGACTGACCCCTGCTCTGAAATTACACTATCCACTGTGGTAGCCATGCACCTCCGTGGCTATC